AACTTTTATTTATTAACTGTTTTATTAAGTTCATTTACTTGATGTAAATACAAATTAATATTAATTTTTATTTTTTTATTTTCATTTACAATAAATAAATATATCCATAACCTATACTTTAAGAAAAACCTATAAAAAAATTGAAATCAAGATGTCTTCGTATTTAGATTATTTAAATATTTTTGTTATTTCTTACTTATTGATTAATTAAAGATGTTATTTAATTTTTTCACTATTATTCTTAATATTTTAATTACTGCACCCTCTTAAATTAATTCTAATTCTAGAATGGAAAAATCTAATAATTTGCTATTCAACAACACTCCGAATAACTTTAAAATCTGGAGATGGTGTGTAATAATTTGGAATGAAAAAACAAAGAAAAGAAAACTAAACATTTAACTTTAAATTTTTTTTTTTTTTTTATGTAGATTATACAAGCCAAATTGCAACACATTAAATCAAATCACCATTTCAGAGCAGCACCAGAAATTAATATAATGTGAAACACTTACATGTGCAGCTTAATTCCTACATGTGTTTTAGCTCCTTCATCACCATTACAGAGAAGCACCAGAAATGACCTAGTAAATTCTCTCTGCTGTGGATACTGGACGCAGGAAGACAACAATGACTGTGATGTTATCCTTACTGCCTCGTTCTGCAGCTTCTGTGGCCAATCTTTTGGAGCACATTGCAGGCTCCTTCACTGTGTCTCTGATTATGCTCACAACCTCTTCGTTACTCATGACATCCCAGAGTCCATCACTAGCCATTACCTGACAATCAAATGACATTTTTTTTCTCTCATGTTTAATCATTGAAACACTTTCACAAGGAGACTTGCCTAAATGCAGACAAATATACAATTAGCAAACAGCATTTCAACAAAGGTTCAGTGGCAAACACTTCAATTTATGTGGCTCCTTCTCTTTCAACCTAGCATTTTATATTAAAATGTACTACAAGCAAAAAGGAAATATAAGAAAACAAATTACGCACAATATGCTGGCATTGAAGACAAGCCATAAGTTGATGAAAGCTTCAGATACAAATCAAGGAAAATTCTACGATAAACTATATATGAAGCATGTCTTAGTTCAGTCTCACCCCAGTCCCCACCAAACCCTTGTTCCAGGTTGCCTATATAAGTTATAATTTACAGTATAAGGCCTCTTGTTGCGACAAAAATGAACTTCATCCAAATTCCAAATCTAAAACAAGCAGGCCCTTACATGCACAACTTATCACCCTTCATGTAAATATTTGACCGTTCTTACCAGGAATTCATCTTCTGCTGAAAGCACAGTTTCCGTTATCTCAGGTTCAGGAGTTACAGCAGGCTTGAGATCATCATCACCAATGGAACGAGTTACCTATGGCAAGAGGGAAATTTAACAAAATATTTTACAAGCCTAGAAACTTACTCTGATTGGGTATATGCAATCCATTCATGATTTATTGACATCAAATGCTTATCCTTAAATCAATTTTTTGAAATGTAAAAATTTTTTTAATGCTATTGACCAAAGAAGAAGAAGAGAACAGCTCATTAAGATTGAAAGTAATTGAAGTGAAATTCAGTACATAAAAACCAAAACCAGCTAATTCCTAAAAAATTTAATGGAACGTAAAACATTTTCAAAACTTCAACATCTGTTGTGTGGTCATTGTAAATTAAGTGGAGAAATGCTGTCAACCAGAATTAAAATATAGGTGTTTACTTTGGCAAACTTTTAAATATGGTCATCAGGCAGTTGAAGAGCACTTCACAGAGAGATTACCATAAATTGTCTCAGCATTTTCAAACACAAAAAGCACAATAAAAGCACTCAACACTATAATACATTCAAACCTAGCATTTTTCACATGATTACAACTCAGTCCAACATTTTTTCAATACTCGTCACCTTTTAGCCCCTATATCAATGTCTTTAACTACAGATTAAGTTCAACAATTTTCAAAATGACATTAGCCACCGATTTATAACAGTTAGTGAAAAGCTAACCTTTGTTAGGGTTACTAACATAAATGATGAGCAAACAACAAAAGATTGGAGAAATTTCCATTGATTGCCCATGACGCAATCCCTATTTCATTGACACAATAGAGCATTCTTTTCTTGTTAATCTCTCTTGCCACCCTTCAATGTCTCTATCTCTTGTTCCCAAGGAACTGCCACCAACTTCTTTTCCTCTCTTTTTAATTTCTAACAAGAATCTCTAATATTTTCTTCACAAATTCCTCTTTAATATTTCACCGTTTACCTTTCAATTTGTTTGAATTTTCTTTTTAAGTTTTTTTTTTCTTAATGCATTTGCAAACTGTATTTTACCCACCTTCAATTTTTTTAATACTTCTCATTTGCACCCCTTTTACTTTTAGCCTTAAAAGTTAAAACTCCACCACATAAGAGATTCTTATTTCCCTTTTTCTTTGGTGAAAGAAATTAATGTAAGAAACCATTAAAGATGTTTGACAACAAAAGGATGGATACCATTTATAAAAAGATCAAAAGAAAAAAATCTGTTGCCTAGATCAGTGTAAAAGGAAATAGAGGACAGTAAAAAAGAAAAACAAACCTGTAGTGCAGCAGGACCAACCCTCCAAGTATCAACTTGCCATTTTACTTGACCCCCTGCACCAACAACACGTTCCCTCTCCTCAAGACAGCTAGCAGTATGATCCTAATATCAAAAAGTCAAATAGCTTTACAATATTAACCCTTCACAATAATAATCCACATGAACCAAGAGAATTTGAGTAAAAAGTCACTACACACCCTACTTAGAGCAAATGGGAAGCCACCCCGTGCTATAATAGTCCTGCAATCACCAGCATTAGCAACAAAAAGCTTGTTCTTGACAATTAGAGCAACAGCTGCAGTGCAACCAGGATGCCAATCCTTCTGAGTGATCCTCTTGGATTTACGATGAATATCAAGTTCACTTCTAAATGCATTATCTGTCCTAACAAATGCTTCCAACAATGCATCAGCAGGGCTGCATTCATATAACAAAAGTTAGTCAAGGAATAGAGATACAATTAGATCATGGAGAACAACTGGAGTGAAAAAAACCTGCATGAAGAGCCTAAACTTTTCAGAAATGCAGGCAATGCCTGAGCAGAAAACTCAGCTGCTGCTGCACCTGCAAATTCCTCACAGACTTCATTACACCATAACATGCTAGATCACTAGCATGAAAATGCATCAGAAAGAAAGTGAAAAAGAATTACTCTAGCTCCTAGAGGCATATTAGATATGCAAGGATTTGGTTTCTAACTTACAGATGTCTTCTGATCATATATGAAGATATCTTAAGGGGAAACGATCCAGAAAGAAGCATAAGTGTTAAGTGTTTCCTTTCAAAGATTTAGCAGCTATAAATTCCTTACAGTTTCTGATTATAACTTTTCTAACATCAAAAATTTAAACAAATATGCAACTAATGCAACTGTCACATCAATTTGAAAAAAGAAAAGGACAAATACTAGTTTTCTGTTTGAGTTTAAATTATAAATTGGATACAGAATCCATTCCCCAAATGTCTAAGAAGACACCTCCAAACAAGACCCTTACTCTTAAGGCTATCTACAGAATCAATGAGAGAGAAAATGAAGCGATCAATGTAAGTTCTAAGAAAAAATCACATGCATTTCTGAATGAATTTATATGAAAGTTTTTCTAAAAAGAAAACTATATCTCTCTCCTGTCTCCTTCCCCACCAAAACCACTTCACTATAGATGATGAAGCATACTATTTGGATAAATTATGGTTACCAGAACAATCACCAATAAGCTATAGTCACCATGTGAAGAGGTTCTTCCATATATATGGTACCTAGTGCTCTAGTATTTCACACCAGAGGCCAGCATACCTCTATGACCATCAAAGATGCCAAAAACGTGGATATCTTTCTCATTGCACATATAAGGCATAAGGAAATGTGTATCCTCCATCTTCTCCCTTCTCCCACATGTAGCAAAGGATCCCCATGAAAGTTCTGGATGGTAGGCCCCAGGATCATTGCAAGAATCAAGCCACATTCTTAATGCAGAAACAACAGGAGCAGAAGCTTGTCTGGTAAAATATTCTCCCTGTGTGGACCAGTTTATACTCTCCTGATAGGTTTGAATGTTGTTAACACTATTTGTGGGCTTGTCACCATGAGAAATGGAGGAGTTAGAAAGGTAAATATCTTCCTTTTTCATTTTCTTTCTGTGTTCTAAAATTGTATCTAGTTCCAAAACAATATCATTAAATGAGGGTCTATTTTGAGGATCTGCATCCCAACAACCCTGTATGAGAGACAACAAACTTTCCGGCACACCTGATCCAAGGCCAGAAAGAACAGGTCGCAGTCCCTCAGCAACCACAGCAGAAGTAAGTTGCTGCTCAGTGTAGCTCATCTCCAGAACAGTGTGGGCCTGCCAACAGAATACCAGCCATTTTAACAATAAATTTGAGGACTCAAAATCCACCTGTTGTGTGTATGATCTTGAATCATGAAAATAAAATATATGAAAAAACGTAGGAATGAAGCTTTAGTTATAAAAGAACACAAAACTAACTAATCTCATATTCTAAAATTTTGAAAATACAGTGATAATGTAAACCAGCATGTATGTTCATGTAGATTTATCACATCCACATGTATATAGCGGTAACACCTTTTAAGAAAATGAGAGGATATTATACAACAGAAGCTATGAGTTGGATGCTCATATAAGCCATTAGATAGAAGAAAAAAAATGATCAGAATATTAGCAGTGGTTTGAAAGGCCGAATGATGGAGAATGACAGGATCTATGATTGATAACTAAAATTTCAAACTTTTAGTTTGATAAAAACAACATGGTTTGGATAGTTGGAAGAAAATACAATTTAAAGATCCAGAAAATCAAGACTTGCATCAAATCTTTGAAGTTTCACAAACAAACTCTTATCACAAACAAACTCTTAAAGCTTATTCCTCCTACATCTTAAGTATGAAGATAACACTGTAACTTTTACAGATTGACCCTGCGTTGATGGAAACTCCTTTGGGTTACAAAAAGCAGCAAGGAGAATAGTATGGGTGCTTGAATGTCATAACTGGAGAATTTTAGGCAGCAAAGAGGAGGTAACTTATTCTTTCATATCATAGAACAAAAAATAAAGCAAGAGTAAATTAAAAGAATCAGGGTCCTCTGCTGGATTAGCCAACTACAGTATCTCTCATTAACCCAAGGCTTGAAGTCATGTACCTAAACTCCAACCAACAGTGATTTCATCAGTTAGGCAAGCTCAAAAACTTACGGTGAATATCTCCACAACCTCATCTCATTACCTTATAAGTTTAATTGGGTCAAACCAATAGGTGAAGCAAAATCCAGAGTCCATACAGTTTGCTTGGCTTTCACTAGATTTGAACAAGTGTGATCTCTATAAAACCAGAAACTCTGAGAACCATATTACCAATTTAAAGGTCAAACTTGTCAGAGTTATCAACTTGATCCCTCTTCAAAAATAAAAAAGGCAAAATCACAGTAGTGAAACTAAAAACTATCCACTATGTCTCTTTCCAATTGTATGTAACCAATAATGACAGCTGAAAATATAAGCATTACCATGATTTATCACACCATGAACTTGGAAAGCAAACCCTACCAATCAGATAAATGATTTCAAAGTCTTCCTAGTTTCCACAGCATAAGGATTATGATTATGGAAGCACAACTAAGACATGTCATGTGGTAATTATTAACACAGATTAAAATACTGATCAGAATGAATGCAATCAAGAGAGAATAACCTGAGCTTCTGCTTGAAGATCAGTGTATGGGACGGTGCCAGTCAAAAGTTCACTGCAGTGAATTTGAACTTTCTTGGTTATAGCCTTAGAAGAGAAAAACACATAAAAAACCATCTGTACCTTACAGAGCATTCTCTGACAAAATAAAAGACTTACAAACATAATGTAGAGTTTAGAGGTAATATGGACCTGATTTGGCAGTTCACCCAATAAAAAAATATATTTTTCCCTTTTTTCTGTTGAAGGCTCTGCAAAACATTTTAATCCCCTGGAAGGAAATTCGTACACTGGATGTTGAATGTATACACATTGAAAACAGGACAAACAAGAGTTGGACATATTGCATGTCTTAAAACAGAAAGGAGAGAAAAAGAATATTTTGGGAAAGAATTGGTTAAATCTCCACGTATGTGATGCAAACAAAATGATAGAAAAATGTTACAATATCAAGAATATTTTGGATTTCAATCTTTATCTGATTAGCAGGATTTTTAGAATCTTTCATCAAGATAAAATGCATATATTATTAATTTTTCAGGAACAATAACAGCTTTGTCGGTCAGAAGCTTTCCTGCATTCTTACTTGATGGAAATTCCAAAGCTATAGACATCTGACTTTTCAGTGTGTATTTCCTTCTTCAATATCTCAGGTGCCATATAAATGAGTGTGCCAACCATATTCTTTTTGTGGAAACCACCAGTCGGCTTGCCAGTTGATCTCCAGTTCTCTGTAGAGATACATGTAAGATCCTTCTTGTATTCTGCCAGACCAAAGTCTGCTAGGTATGCAGAAAGGTTTCTGTCAAGCTGCGCAACATACATTCTAATAGTTTGTTATATGACTTTGAAGCTTAATGTTGGCTTGCTCTGAGATGTATATTGACAGTTTCGAACACCAAGGTCAAGCAGTAGATCAAGGAAAGAAATCAGGATCTTATAGAAGAAAATTACAAGGAAATTAGCTGGCTTGACATCCCTATGAACAATTCCATGGTTATGCAGGTATTGCAAGGCCTTGGCTGGAAGAGGAAAACAAAACGAGGGAAAGAAATGTAACATCATTCCTAAAAAAAACAGTGAACTTTAATTAACAGGAAAGTGTGTGTGTGATCTTAATTCTAACAATCTACCCAAGGATGATCCTCGAAGTTTTATACCTAACTGAGCTGTGATCATAAGCGCCTGATCAACATTTGGAGTCCATTCTTCCACATGCAATTTATGTGCTAGATTACTTGATTCATAAAATTCAAAGAAGAACATGTAATTGGGTGGCTTGGCATGCGCCGCAACAAGTGTAGCTATTCCAGGATGATCCAGCTTGCTTCATCAGTACATGCAAAGAAATTTGAAGGGAAAACAAAAATTTCAGCACCTCCTAATCCTATCATCATTACAATACAATTCACCCCATCAAAACCCCATAAATAAAAACAGTTTAACATCGGCAGAAACGCTGCTCAAAATTAGATAAAGGGCGAATAGGCAAACATCTTATGTGCAAAGAGAGAAATACCATAAGAGCTGCAGCTCCCTATGAAATTTATCCAACTCCTCCGAAGTAGACAAGATGGGTTTCTTAACAGCAACCTTCCTGCCATCCAATATTGCTTCATAAACCACACTCTCCCCGCCTACACAGAACACAACAATGAAGAAGAAATCAGTAAAAAATGAAAGAAGGGTAATCTGAAAGCAACCCTTCCCACTACATTTGGAACCGAAATTCACCCAGAAGTTGAAAGAAGAAAACAGAGAAGAATTGAAAGAAACAAAATGAGGCAATGGAAAATTAATTACCTCTGGCAATTGGGGAGAGGAGCTTGTAAGATGAGGGAGGAAGGTGAAGAGGAATGGAGTTGCTGGTGCAGCAACCACGGAAACAAGTGTTTGGCTCCACAATCTCTAACCCCATTTTTGCTCTCTCCGGTGCCAGACTGGAGACGGAATGATAATAGAGTTCAGAGAAATTGAAGTAGGTAGTGAGGGGCGTACGGTGGTGGCCCGGAGGCGTGGGAAGTTTCCCCTCAGTTGGAATTGTTCGGATCTGTGAATTAAATTGGTTAAAGCTCAATTTTGGGTCACTCAACTTTGGCATAAATCTCTGATTTGGTCCCAAACTAAACTAAATTAATCTCCGTTTTGATCTTTCAAGTTTTAGGACGTGTTTGGTTGAGGTTTTAAAATTTTTTTTTTCTTATAAAATTATTTATATATTTTTAAATATTAATACTGAAAAAGAAAGATAAAATTAATATTTTGAATATTTATTTATATTGACACAATTTAAAATGTGCAAAGTTTTCTTTTATCTATTTTTAAAGAAAAAAGATTCCCTATAACTTTTTTTATTAACTTTCTCCTTATCAATTTTTTATCAAATATAATAAAGTTAATAATCTAACAAAATCAATAAAAATTTATTATAAAATTTAATAATTTTTATATAATACTTTTTAATTATTTTTAATAAAAACTTATCTTATAAAATAACCCTCTAACCAAACATCCCCT